TTTAGTATGTGCTCCGCTAGACGGTAAAGTTTTCTAGACAAGAGTACTGCGTATGAAGTGGCAGGGCTTTAGAGTAACGAGGTTTTCCAATAAACATAATCTTTGAATCTATATGTAATATACTACTTTATTTTACTACTGTACTCTCATACAGTTTTTCCAAGCATTTGAATAAAGTGATCAGGTGATAACTTGTTAGGAAGTTGGTTTAGTGGGACACCAATGACAAATACTTTTGTTCCAGGCGCTCGGGAAGGAGCATAAAAAAAGAAATAAGTGGATCTGGGAATGCTTTAGGAAGTGGTTGTTTTATTATAAATGGAATCATATTATTATACTGTTATACTGTTGACTATGATGGTTTTAAGTTCAATCTTAGTTTTGTTATTTGTTCTCCCTTTGCTTAATTTCATTTTGATTTTTTTAATACAGAACTGGCCAGAACTTGACTGCCATCCCACCTGATGGAATGTGGCGATGCAGCCTTTATCTTAATCACAACAAATATCGACCGCTTAGCTTTGTGGCTAGAGCGTGCTAGACACGCGTAGGCGTAGGTTTGCATCCTGGCAGAGATAAAACATTTTACGTAAGTGCTCGTGGTATGCCAGTAGGTCCATATTTTCAAGTTTCATCTTAAGTGCAAAAAGTGGCAAGAACAAAAACTTAAATCAAATGAAATCATTTTCCCATAAACCAAACATAATGTCATTGTGAAATAATACAATAATAGGCAGACTAATAAAAACCGCAAGCTATTTTTACAACTCGACATTATTTAAAGACGACTATTAAAAGACAATTACTTATTTATTTTTTGAGACGCTCGAGGTCAAGTAACAATATATTTAGGCGCTAATGAATAGTACAAGAGACCATAAATTACAATGTTTAGATCGCACCGTTATTATGTAAGTGTTGCTTCATTCATAAGCTAATTAAAAAGCCAATTGTCTCGGTTTACTAATTACCTTAGTCAGACTTGTAATAACTGGTCTGAATATTTTCTTTACCCTAATTTATAGCGCAAATAGCCGTTTGTATAAATTTAAGGTATCGTTTTCGCGATTGGGACATTATGCTTAATTGTAGACACGTTCCAAGATTTTCTATGAGGTTTCTTTACCATGATTGGGAACTAAGCTTCCAGCTAAATAAAGAGCCTATCTATTAACTTCATACAATATTTATCACCGTTATGATCTTCTGTGAGTGAGTATCAATACCTCCGATCTATAAGGAAAACACCAGTTACCCCACTCACTAAACAAGGTATAAAAATGTTTTCACTTCACGCCAGACTTCTGGGTTACTTTCCCGGAGGATATTGTCCATACGAACAACCATATTTCAAATTAAATGGAAAAATGCATGTACTCTGTCAAAGCTTTTCCATTCCTTTCCATTAAAAAAAAAAGGTTTAAATGATCAGACAAAAATAATCACGTTTCTTATGCGTAGTAAATAAGTGCTATTTAAATGGCAGGCTAGAAAACGATATCAGCTTTCATTGTCTTTATGATTCACGTTTCTAGTCTTAATGACCATACAACGTTTCCTCGGCCTCAATAAAGGTGATAAACATGATTCTTGTTATTTTTTGACATAACTAAGACTTGCAGTTTAATCAATACCTGAAATTGTTTAAAATTTACGAATATAAATCTGTTTCATATTGTACACTTTACCTGTTTTGACTTAGTAGGTAAAATTGTATATTTTTTATCGCTGTAGAAGTTACGATTATTGTAAATTGCCACGAATTTACATTCGTGGCAATTTACAATAATTTGTAGCAGGGGTCACCAAAGGCCAAGCGCAGTCCAGATCCAGACCGCCGACCTATTCGATTATACATTTTAACATCGAAAGTGGACCTAAATATTTAATATATTGATATTCAGTTATACTTTCGTTTTCATATTAACATATTTATGTTAATTACTCGTGAGTAAGGCAAGCGGGGGAGGGGGTTAGACTTGTGGAACGCGACGGTTATATTGTCTAAAGAAACAGACCCTTAATTAAAGTAATTGGTGGCCCCTGGTTTGTGGGGTTCAAAAACGACATTTACACACGACGATTAGCAAACACTTAACTGTTTGTGTAAATGTACCGTGCACGAATCGAACTCATAGCATATGCGCCAATCGAAACATGCAATCATTAATTAATTATAAATCGAAAAAGGACTGTTTACTAAGACGTATATGCAGCGGCGGGTACGCACTCAAGTCGATGCTTTCGCAAAAGCGTTAATTAACATCTGTTTGCTAAACATTCGCAGTGAAGCGAAGGAGTCATCGAAATATACTGGAACGTTACTTAAATATTGTAAATATTACTTAAATATTACTTAAATATTACTTAAATATTACTTAAATATTACTTAAATATTACTTAAATAGTGTCTTATTTCTGAGCGCGTATCAGTAGACTCGCAGTTCGATGTCATGCAGTAAGAGCTAGTTCCAATTGCCGATCTAAGCTTGTCTCAATGTAAATCGGACCTATGTGATAAGTAGTTTTTTTTTGGATAACACGCAAGGTGATAGAATAGTAAAGCTTCATTTCTCGCATAGTACAAGATCTCACTTTATTTACGTCCAACTTTTCTTAATCATAAACCACTCTGTTTTATATTTATGCGCTACGTGGTTATGTTTACAATAATTAATTACGTTTATTAAAACGTTATTAATTCTAAGACAATTTAGGAAAAAAGTTCTGTTATCATGTTCACTAATTATTTTAAGTCGAACATCCTACTGACAATCTTAAGTTGAGCAACATATATTTTGAAATATGCGAAACGATTTTAAAACGACATGTAGCTGATATACTGCGTCCTTGTCTGATGGACAGTATGGTGTTCTGACTCTCTCTCGCTTTTTACTCTCCAACCGTTAGCAATCTATACAGCGTGTCGTTACCATCGCGACAATAAATGAACACACGTCTAACGCTACTTGCCAATAATCATAAAAAAAGTATTAACGTTAAACAAAATCCATAATTAAAAAAATATTTTTCAAACAAACTAATCAAGTAAAAAGGAAACAAAATTTGTAACATCCTATACAACTCGCGCCACAGCGTCGTATTATAAGCCTCTCCTTCTAACAGTATGTTTTGTCTCTTTTAAATTCATTCAACCCATTCATATGCTTTGTGACCTTTACAAATGAACTTTACGTTACGCTTTTATAGGTAAGGCTGTTCTAAAATTCTTTGTTTAAGAAAATTTAATAACTCTGTAAATATTGGTGTTTAAAGAATGTAAATTTTTGATACAATTTTAAAAATGTATCCTCTATATGTGTGTTTATTTATTGTCGCGTTGGTAACGACACGCTGTATATGCAGCCATTTTTAAGTACACTACCTTTTGTTATCGTGTAGAGCAAAAGTATCTTGAATTTAGTATATAATTTAACAGCGACCCATCCTGGCTTCGCACTCGTAATGTAGATATTGAATTTCTCCACTTTTCTCTAATGTAATATGCATGTATACTAATAAATCTTGATCATTTTACATATAAACCCTCCGCTTGAATCACTATATATTAATGAAAACCGTATTAAATTCCGTTGCGTAGTTTAAAAGATCTAACCGTACAATTATCGGGACCGACCTTGTTTTATACTATGCAAAGGTTACACACGAAGACACGTTATGAAATGGTTCAATTTAAAAATACTTGCGCCATATTTTATTCGCAATGGCAGGTATATATTTCTCTGTTAATAATTATTTACGAATATTGAATTTTGATAAAGTTTGAGTCTTCGAGACTGATATAGTCAGCGATCCAACTGCGGTCGCGATGAGACATGTCAAATATCAATTTATATCAATAACTAGCTGCCCGGACAGACTTCGTTCTTTTTTTTAGTATTAAAACCTTCCGTGGACCTTAGGGAACATACAAAAAAAAATTAGTCTAATTGGTCCAGCCATAACTGTGGTAGAGCCACGCAGCAGCCTTGGCTGTTGCACGAATGGGCGGGCACGTCCAGGTAGGTACCATGACCTCACAGAAGAAGACCGGCGTCAAGTGGAAGTATAATTACTTTCGCGTTTTGTCTGGTGAGTGAGGTAGCCGGAGCCCGATATTCAAAAGGTTGTCAACGCATTGAAACCCTCGGGTATAGCTGATGTCCATGGATGGCGGTATTTACTTAACATCAGGTGAACCGCCTGCTCGTTTGGCAACTTTTCACATTAAAAAAAGCCATTCTTGAGTTATGCGGTTAACAACATTTATTTTTATTTATTACTAGCGATCCACCCCGGCTGCACACGGGAGCAATGATAATACGTAATATATATAATTATACACCTTCCTCTTGTATTACTCTATCGAGTAAAAAAAACCACATCAGGATCCGTTGCGTAGTTTTAAAGATTTAAGCGTACATACTCTGGACGGACAGACAGCGGGACGAGTTTGTTTTGTACTATGTAGTGATGCACAGCAAAGAGACGTTTACATTTCAAGTGACATTTCATCGCAGTCACTCACTTGTTTTGCCTTCGCCGAACCCTTCCACTAACACTTAAACTTTATGGTATGGTAAAGTTAAAATTGACTTTTAAGTATAAAGTATTACCAATTTTTTGTATGGGAATTTTGGGACTTTTTCAGGCAATTTTTTAAATTTTTCCCTCCGTAAGAACCATCCTCGTACTTAAAGAAATATTATAAAAAAATAAAGCTAAATCGGTTCAGCTGTTCTCGACATCTGCGCTTACTAACACATTCAGCGTTTCATTTTTATATACAGAGGTTAAGATTAAGAGGACAACGTCAAGTTTAAATTTTTTGAATGGAAATTTTCAATTAATGTACTATATCACTAATTAAAATCATTTCAACTAAATAAAAAACTATAAATCACTCTTGAAAACATATATATGATAAAAAAAAATCAGTCAACCATTCAATATAATATTAATTCAAAAGTTCAACAAAAACCCTTAAGTATAACACGTTATTGCGACTTCTTGCCCTCACTTTCATCATCACTATACACATTTGGTGTTTCTCCAGGTTTCAGAAGACGTCCAACAATATCATATTTTTCTGTAAAAAATAAAGGTTTTTACAAAGAAGGTCATCAAAATGAACACGAAATGTAAGTTGAAGCTGTAAATTGTCAAAATCTCAAGAATAGTAATAAATTATACTCTATCAAAATTTGATAAAACGATACCGTACACTATAATGTATGGTACGTTTAAGATATCGTACACTATCATGTACGGTATCGTTATCAGGTGCCAAAGTGACGTTAACCTACATAGTGATGGAGAATAATATTTGTCAAAATGATTGTTTTGATATAGGTTTACTTGAATTCATGGCACGGGTTTGTGATGATGAAATGAAATTAACATCATCAAGTATGCAAACAGTTGCAAAACTAGATCGACTGTCAAAAATCTTAAATATAAAATATTCAAACAGTACAAATTTTCACAAGATACTCATTTTAGAACAACTGTATACCTCTGAATTGCTCCTCCCATTCTTTCGCTGATGCGACCTCGTCAGCTGTCAGATCGCTCACGTCATCGTACTCTTTATCATCAGCGGCTACTTGACCTGTAGCCAGGCCTCGGGTCGCATCCTTACCCGCAAATGCTGAGTAAGGGCCACCTGTAATTAATATATAACAAAAAATTCTGGAATACATATCAATTGCACCACCAGACGTTTATTTATTTAATCGATACAGTCTTAACTCTTAATATTTGTTTTAATTAAATGGCTTATATGGCACAAGTATCGCATATATTTACACACAGACAGGGTATAGTATTACCTAACTAAAACTTTTTTGTCTTTAGTCAGATTATTTCTTCTACATAATTAACATTTTACATATTCATAAGCTTGACGAAATTAGAGAATTAACTAGCCATGAGTATGTCTGACATTTTTAAACTTTTATTGAATATCTGAATAAACGAAAAATGTCGGCGAAAAATGTCAATAATTGTAAAGGCATAGTAATCTAAATTTATAAAACGTCTAATATTTAACTGTAAACTAAGTATTTAAAGAAATTTATTCTAGAGTCTTCAAGTGATTTTTTTTAATGTGAAAAGTTGTCAAACGAGCAGACGGTTCACCTGATGTTAAGTGAATACCGCCGCCCATGGACATCTGCCGCACCCGAGGGTTATAGATGCGTTGACAATCTTTTGAAAATTGGGCTCCGGCTACCTCACTCACCAGAAGAAACGCGGAAGCATTTGTCATACTTCCACTTTACGCTGGTTCTGTGAGGTCGTGGTACTTACCCGGACGGGCCTGCCCATTCGTGCAACAGCCGAGGCTGCGTGGCCCTACCACTGTAGTGATTTTAGTTATCAAGGTGTAATTTTGCTATCGGTGTGTTTAAATGCAATCCAAATATGTAACACATAAACCTATAACACACAGCTAATATTTACGAAGTACACATTATTTAAGGTCATTCATGGTCACGATGAGATTGTAGGAAATCTGAACGGTGTGAAGGGCATACGATTATCGCTATATATCGACTGTATATTTTTTTTGTTTATAAAATAGAAACGTAAGTGCGGAGTAAATGGAACGGAATTCGAAAAAACCGGCCAAGTGCGAGTATGAGTCGCGCACGAAGGATTAATAAGGTACATTACTCTAAAAACGGCAAAAAATATCATGTCTTTTATATAGGAGCCCCACTTAAACATTTTTAATTCTGTTTTTTTAGTATTTCGTGTAATAGCAGCAACAGAAATATATCATCTGTGAAAATTTCAGCCCTTTGGGTACGGAACCTCTAAAAATGAACGCAAACGAAAATGTTGGATAAAATATTTCGAGCAAACAGGAAAAAAAAATTATAAAAATCATATTTGACACAAATTGATCACAACATGATGAATGTTTACGTTATGCGTTACATCTTAGAATTTTTTGAATCATGCTTATAAAAAAGGATTGGAAAATAATGTTAATATTTTAATAATGTTTATTTGAATACTTATAAACGACTCTTAATCACCCTGTGTTCTTTACTCAAATGAAATACGAGTTATGTATTATGAACAACAATTCAACGTCTTACAACGATTCGACTTTGAACCGAAGAATGAAACACAAGGTTATGCGACGCGCAATCGTTCTTTCTTACTTTAATTTTTTCCTACTTATTTGGTTAGTAATTATATTCGTACCGACATTCTTACCGAATTTAAAGAATAATAAGCTAGTTGCTTCAACTATTTTTGTTACCATTAAACTCGTTTAATTTACATTACGCATACACATAATTAACAAAATGAAAAAGTTTGATTTCTAAAAGACTCTTGATAGTGCTGTCTCTGTCTATGGCATGACTTGCAGCTTGGGTTCGTTAAGTCGTTAACACCGTTCTGTGATCGTTACATTAACTCTATTGAGGCAGTTTGATGTGTTACAATATCAACTTAAAACGCAATGGAACCGATGACGAGAAAAAACTCACTACTCAGTTCATTATCAATGCAGCCTATAGAGGTAACGCGTACGCATCGTTAACAGTGTTATGATCGAAAAAAATAGCGTGATACTCGTTTAAATAGTCCGTAATAAAAATACAAAGAACATTCTAGTTATATCCTTTATAAGCAAACAGATGTTAACAAATACAAAGGTTTATTGGCGACCTCTACTCACTGGTAGAACCCAAGGAACCGGTTTAAATGTGCAGCTGATGAAATTGTTTTGTTGTTGGATGGTTGGTTCTGTGCAGCAAATATTAATGACAATTGTGGTTTAACGTTTTCATCGTTGCTGTTAAATGGAACATTCGTTAATTCAAGTACTAGGTACATCGAAAAATGTTGAACTCCATGAGAGTGCGATAACACTATCTGGTTAATATGAATAAGCGTTATAGCGAATTCAGAAGATCGATTGATAGTGCTCACCTGGCCCGTAAAATCTCTTCCCTCTGGTAACGTCGAATATTACACCGTTAACAGCCAAAAGTACTCTTCCGTCGGGCCCCGTGCCGTCGTATTTCTTTAATTCGGCCACTGTTAAATCTTTACGGAGCTTCGGCATCGGCGGCGGCGGCGGTGCGACGGGTTCATCGCCATCAAAGTGAGACTTTAAAATCTTGTATAGAAGGTACACAATAATAGCAACCAGGATTAAGTTGACAGGGCTCGTTAGCTCGTCCCAAGAACTCGAGGGGGCCTCTTCCTTGCTCGTCATGTTTTAAACGCGTCTACAGTCCGCGAGAAGTCGGAATAAACTGAATCGCACTATCAAGTACGCCTAACATATAACGCCAAACGTATCTTCTAGTATTGTTGATGTTAAGGTGACTATACAGACTATACACTGTCTGTGACAGCGCGCGAAAATTTAAAATTGTCTATTGTCGTATTAAGCTAATTCTTCTTTTTACTTTAAAAAACAATATATTGACTTATATTATTACATAAAAGTCAAGCTTTAATGTTGTTTATCCTACTCAAATATTTATAAGCACATAAACAATAAAAACACATACACAACAATAAAAAAACAATGAATTCATTAAAAAACAAGTAAACATTATAATGTCCTATCGTTTTATTAAATTACTTAAAAATTTGCCTTTTATAAACGTAAGTTATGCAACTATGTGGATTCCAAAATTTTCCGAACAGGAGCTATTTCCAAATTAATCACAATAATAATTATGACATATTCACATACAACGTGTCTGGATATGGATATACTTGTCTGGAGTTCCGTAAGGCATTAAGTCCATCGTTTTTTGTAGAGTGTAACGAATAAATAAATAAAAATCTAACGCTGGAATTATTTATTTCTTATTATTTAAATTTTATCAAATCATCATGACTGCAGACTGATATGTTTGGGAGATAAGACATGAAGGAAGTTTGATAAAACATATATTTTCCCGATTTAGTAGTATTTATGGCGAATGTTATAACTAGACGTTGTTTCTTTCATGTCTTCATGCCACTCTTAATAAAAATTCAGTAAAATATACCTGCTTGATTTTTTATCAGTCCCGACGGCGTTATCTAACATTGCTAGAGGACTGGGCAAAATGTATCTTACTCGTTGGTGTTACCTTGAATTTTTGCCTGCTGGAAGGAGTCCTCACACCTGCGCGAGATGCATATTAGGTTACAGTCGTACACATACGCAGATGTAAACGTTCGCAATTCGCATTGTCCCTTACCGATACAATGAATAGTCGATAGGTTTCTGACGAAGTGTCGTCGACTGCGTCAACTTGTACAATAGTGTTTAGAGATTTTCTGGTCACCAAGTGCTATAGTTACAAAAGAAAAATCTTTGTATCGGCTAGCGTGAATGTATCAACTCTTCATAGTAGGTAGACAATTTCATTCATTAACCCAACTATTTACAGCTGGTGAAAAAAAAAAAAAATAATGATGCGGCTATTATTACTTTTTTGTACATTTTTTTGATGTGAGAACGTAGCAAGCGAGCTGGCGGTTTAAATGATGTTAAATAGTAACCACCGCCCATGAGCATCGCAACCACACGGGTGCTTGTGGCATTGCCATCTTTTGATAAAGTGGGCTCCAGTTACCTCACTCACCAGATAAAAGGCACAAGGTCGTCAACAATAATAGAAGGTCGTGATACTTCACCTGACGGACCTGCCCGTTCATGCAACAGGGAAGACTGTCACCGTCGCGGCCCTACCACTGCAAGAAAGATTTGTATTTTTCCAAGTTAGCGAGATTTGTATTTGAGTGTCACAATATCGTCTGTAAGTCTGGTGCAGTCTGTTTGACTTATGATTGAGTAATTGGATATTTTATGTCTTCTTTCATATCTCTGTAACGGGGGCATGAGCCCAAGGGATAACTAAACTGACTCGAGAGAATCTGGCAACACGGTGAGATATCAAACGGCGATAAATTTCAAGAGTTTTCATGCGACGTGCTTACTAAATATGTAAATGTACTTACAAGGGGAGACGCTTTTGTGTAACGATGGTTGCCATAGATAAGGTTTTGAAGCAGTATTGGTCGGAGACTTATTAAAAGGAGAATGAAGACAATTGAATCAAAGCAACAGCTTCTTTAGAGAACCACACTAACGCATTAGTAATGCTGCTGATTGTTATCGTTTCACCGATGTGATTCATGCCATTATCTTTCTGTAGATTTATTTTATTTCAATTACTCAGAATATTATTTACAGTACACGCTTTGATATTTTTAACTTTAGTGTTTTCGACAGTGGCGATAGCTATTGCATTGTTTTCATTATTTATTTATTTATTTATTTACACTTTATGTACAATCTAGTACAAAGGCGGACTTAATGCCAAAGGCATTTTATACCAGTCAACCATTATTCACTTTTTTGCATTTGGAATATTCTTTGTAATTTGGATGAGTGACGGCAGTGACAGTCTGTTTAATCATTACTACCTAATAATCTGATATAATATAATATGTTTTATTATGATATACTGACATAATAAGTTCTTGTAATATCTCTAAACTGTTCCATTATTTGTATTACTAATAATGATGGTGCAGAAATATAATCGTACATACAAGTTGAAAAATATTTTGCTAATCGTTATCAGTAACCCCAGTAAACCGAATAAGTAAATATTAGGTTTAGCTACTTTATTTATATTAAATGAAATTATTTATACTTATAACCACAGATTTCATTTTCAATATTACACCAATGCCATTTACTGAAATTTTAATATCAAAATTGTGAGGTGCTGATCCAAGGTAAAGTTATGTCAATTGTCAAAAAACAAAATTAAAATATTGTTGATCTTTGCATATTACTTTTTTATGTTATATTTCATATTAGACATTAAAACAACGCTATTATTTTATTAGTATTATTTACTTATATCCGAACATACTTTTATTTTATATATAACTAAATGTTATAGTATCTAAACATTTAATCATTAGAAAAATACTATGCTCATCCCACAATATTATTTATATCTAAAATTCTCGTGTCACGGTGTTTGTAATTGAACTCCTCCGAAACGGCTCGACCGATTTTTGTAAAATTTTGTGTGCATATCGGCCAGGGTGGAGAATCGGACAACATCTATTTTTCATTCCCCTAACTTAAAATTCAAATAAATCACAGGTATTAAAAACCTGTTTTGTGAATTTTAAGTAGTTAAGTTTTTTTTTTATGTCAGTTACTAACTTTACTTTTAAGTAAAATATAAGTAAATAAGGAAATTAAAGTTTTTGTTTTACTCGTTTTTACCCACTAAGCCTTGCCTAAAAACGTGAGTTTACACAAAACGTATTCATTAAGAATCGATAGCCTTTTCATATAGCGCCACCTCGTAAAATTTTTAGGTACTCGCATTGTTGCTATTGGATCTGAGCCTACATTAACCTTAAGCCTTCGAAAGATGGCGCTATATGACATTATCTAAATACGAATAACCTTATCGAGTAACATTATCAAAAAAAGTGGATTTAACAAAAAACACACTTTTTGTACACCTTTTTATTATCCTTAGTACAATATTCTTTGGCATGTAATTATGGCCTATCAAAAGTAAACCGTAAGGCAGTTTAAAAAGTGATAACATAAAAAAACCGACAAAAACTAATAACATTGTTAATTGGTGATTGCCCTCAATTTTTCTGGAATGCCATCATCAGATCCGGGTTTCCTTGTCATGGTACCACCCTTGGGATACAACAAAGCCTACTCCTCGCCAACAAAGAATCATCAAAATCGGTTCATAAACGCCGAAGTTATCCGCGAACACCTTCTTTTTTGAACTCGGTTAAAAACTGCAAACTTTTTCAAAAATCTTTACATAACGCATTGCTTTATTTGCTTTTATTCGAGCTTTTATGAATATATTTGTTTGTTCTAATCTCTCGTCAGAAGAAATGACGCACCACAACAAAGTTTTATTTAAATATCCTTTATACATTACAATTAATTGCTTAATGTGTTTGTAAGCGCACAACTGGGGAACGGCTTGACCAATACGGCCAATTTTTTTTAAATTTTATGTAGAAGTGGAAGGTTCGATTGAAAACAAAACATAGTAAAATCCACGGAAACATTTCGATCGAATATTGACGTCAAACATCAATCAAAACTAAACTATGACCACTTACAAAGCGTAAAGACTCTGCAGGGACTTAATTTTTACAATTTCTGACACTGCGGAATGGTCGGTGGCATAGCATATCACTCAATTTCGATTTAGACTCAAAAAGAGTCTCCTAAAGATCGATTTTCCCTTTTAAGTATGGGCCATGAGTCATTTTTCCGGTACAGAGTAGTATATGAAACTACAGACAATCTTCATTTTTAGAGTGATAGCTCAGTGTCCAGACGCTCGCCTTTAATTCAATTTACTCAAGTAACCTGAGTTCGATATCCGGTGCCGGCACCAATGAAGAATGGTAAACATTAAAGGTAGCGGGGTGACTTTAGAAAAACCGAGCTGCTCCTATGGTCAATAATTTGTAGCATTTGCGCGTGTGTTCAACGCCCAGAATCTTTACACTTTATCCCCAAACGGAAAGACATAATATATTATCGCCTACAGTGGGTACTAAAATATTGCTCTGTTCTGTCATGTGTCCTGAGCTAAGTATGGCTGAAAACATCAAAGTAAATATCACACTTATAGGCACTTCACGTTAGATTTGGCTATATACGCAGGCAGAATCCACCAGATGATACCGGCACAATTAAAATAGAGATTAGCTTAAAGTTTCAATACGTCAGTGTACGTACACTTTGTCTGAGGTCAGCGTTATCCCGGGTTTCCCTTCGTATCTTTTAATTGTGTAATTGTTACTTATTAGTTCTCACATCAGGAAAGTAAAAAAATATCTGCGTTCCTCTCGACTACCAAGATTCAGCCCCCATGATTGTAATAATTCAACGATATTAAAGCAGCGAAAAGGGCAGGTATCTTCTAGTGTATGTAGAACATGTACAATAATCTTGTTTAACATTAGAAGAAAATCGGTGTTACGTTATAACTTTAAAATCAACCAAGAACCTGAAGTGTCTGTCGAGTTAAAATGAATACACTACTATCACGCTGTTCACTCTTCTGTTGATTAGAATAATACTCACGGAAAGAGAAAAAAAAGGATAAAAAAGTGTCGCATGTTTTTATATAAGTTTAGGAATTCGAAAATGTGCCATTTTTTGATTTTAAAACAGTGTAAATGCGTCGAGTTTAAATCTTTTAATTAATACTATGGAAGTTTGTATTTTAGACACCTTCACTATTATATTAAATTACGTTATTGTTGAAGACCTGTTTTTTAAGTGCTTGTTTGCATGTGGTCGACAGTATTACTATACGAGTATATTATTTGCTTATTACTATTGTGGATATTCTTAACCTTTGATAATATTTTTAAGATAAGGGCGAATACTCATATGCTAACGGGTCTAGCTAGTGCCTAAGATTACATCTCATATTACCTTCAGGCGGGATAGTGATCAAGCTCTGGCCAGATTTATTTATTTATTTATTTTTTCAAGGAAAACAAACAGCTATATATTAATCTAACAAAATAAAAATATAGTATAAATCTCTAAGCCAGTAAATTTTCCACCAAAAGCAAAGTCATATAATAGACATCACGGGAGAACTTGTTTTGCTTAAATGAATATATTACGATGAAACTAATTATTAAAGAGCTCTGAAGAACATTTGATATAAAACTACCTAAACTTAAATGAAATATATCAAAATGATTAAAATTAACAAATATTAAATTATGTATACAATAACATATACATAATTTAATATGATAATAAATTAACTTTCACGACTGAATATCAAATGCACATTAAAATCAGTGTATTTTAAGTAATTCCGGCAATTTTACACGAAATTGAAGCGAATAATTCAGCACATTATAACTTTAAATTAAGTTTCCAAACATATTCAGATAAAACTTGCGGAAGAATTGTTCAAGTAAAGTTCTCAACTTATTCACGATTCGTTTGAGATTTCGTTTGCTGCAAAGAAGTATATTATCGTGAATACAAAGTGAGGATCATTAGGAGGTTTCATTCAGATATTCTGATTTCAGTGATTAAATAGATATTCAACTTTTTTATTTTTAGTTGTTCCTGAACTTGGGAATAATGGCAATGATTTTTTTTTAATTTGTGTTTGCATTTCATTTCCAAGTGGATTTAACGTATTTTTTCGTTCGACTATACTTCGTTTATATTTGTATCTGTAAGGGTTTCTTTTGTATTATTTTTTTTAAATAGAGGTTTTGATATTTTGAAACAGAAATGCGACTTCCCACTAACCTACTTTCTAGGTTGCTTTTATTGGTTGGTGATACACTTAGACCCCTAATTTGCTAACGAGTAGAGAAAGGATATAAGATATTTATCCATATATAAGAGATGCAAATCTTTAAGCTAGTGGTAGAAAGAAAAGAAACAAAAACACTTCATTTGACGTCACTTAAATAAAAATTATTAAATCAAATGATACATAAAAATAACTATTGTGACATCAAATTGGAACTCCATTTCAGAAAATTGCTGCAGTTGCGTTTTGCGAAACTGACTGTCAAGGTTTTGATGACGGAATGTTGGTAACTTCATGATTCTAAAAAGAAAGAACGATCTCCAAGTGTTCAGCCGAACTGGGAAGCCAAACAACGGGAATCAACGATGTTACCTGATGTTAACGATACAAAAGTGTCTACTGGTATTACTACATTACTAGTGGTAACTTTTCAGGGAAAAGGACCTTTAAAAGACAAACAGATTGCCTTGCGTGGTGTTACGGATTAAATGACATACGAGACAAGCATAATATTCTGGAAGGGGTAATGTTATGGTTTCTTAATTGTCATCTTGATTGTCAAAGTCTTGACGTAGACGTCCTTAACAAATCGTGTTAGGGCCACGCTTCTGCTGTTGCATAAATAGATAGGTTTGTATCGGGAAGTACCACGACTTCACAGAAGACCGGCTTGAAGTAGAAGTATTATTTATTATACTTACCTTCTGTTATTTATTATACTTTCTGTACTATTATACTTATTCTTCTATTATAATAATTTTGTCTGGTGATTGAGGTCACCGGGGCCGACTTTTGCGGATCACAGGGAACCCTAGAGGTGCAACAAATGTTCAAGGGTGGCGGTTATCACTTCATCATCATCATCATCATCATTTCAGCCTGTTTGAGTCCACTGCTGAACATAGGCCTTCCCCATAGACTGCCATGAAGTACGATCCTGAGCCACCTGCATCCATCGACTTCCCGCACATTTGCACAGGTCGTCACTCCATCCACGAGCTCTGACGAAATATTTCAGCTAAAGCAAAGTTCAATTTCTATTGTATATTAATTGTAATATGCAATAGAAATATAATAATTCCATTGGGAAGAACAAATTGTAATCTGCAACAGAAATTGAACACATCTGACCGCATGTGTTGTTCAGGATTACAGTTATGACGAAATCAATAATACAATATAATTATGACGAAAATGAAGTAGAAATCTGTTGAATCATGTGTTTGACTGACCAGATTTTTAGAGTAGAATTAATTCTGAAATATTTTTGGAAAATCTAGCGCACATTAGGGCTCTTAAAATTAAATCCAAAGTCATAAGTAAGATAACTTGCCAATGGGATATTGTACCCTATACGAATACTAAATTAAGTTATTTTTGAAATCGCACAATTTCAATTTTTTTTACTCTTGCTGCATTTTAAAATGAATTAATTGCGCTTTTTCTTATTGAGATTTTAAGAAATTTATCTTTTATGATGACATAAATTTCGAAATACCTTTGTTTTATTCCCTACAGTCTTTTTTCTTGTGTGACATATTACCATTTATATAACGATAATTTTCTTATATCCAAATAGTTAAAAGATATAACATAATTTCTATTGTTTAATTTGTACGTTTCGAATTTACTTTATCCACTCTGAACTCTGTTAAATATACATAATTTCAAACTTTATATTTATTGTAAAATTCTGCTTTTCGATTCAAACGAAAAAGGTATAAATCAAAGGACTTCGTGCGATCGTTCTTTCTTTCATTTATCTCTGACAAAGATGCGTTAAGTGCCTCAGGTGCGGCCAATTGCTACTCCAACTTCTTGCTCTGATTCACAAGCTTTAGCACACAATATCTTTCTCTTTGTAACTGACATTGAGAAAATACCGAAATAATGAAAAAGCGACTTTCATCCTAAATCAGGCACTGTATATTTCTATGGTTTAAAGATATTCTTTTTAGAAGGTATGTTTTGATTGATGTTATGAGTAAAAGAAAATAGTTTTAAAGGGAGCATATTTTAGCATTGAATGATAAGAAATTGACGGAATTTAACAAACAATCAGACGCGGCAGGGTTTTTAAGTGTCAATTAGTCAATTTATTTCTTTAAAACACTGTGCAGTCGACGGAAGCAGGTGGCTCAGGATCGTGCTTCGTGGAAGTCTGTGGGGAGGGCCTATGTTCAGCATTGGACTCAAACAAATGGCAATGATGATGATGATGTAGCTTGTAAGCCTAAACTTTGAACACGTGATTAATTATTGAATACTTCTTTTGGCGCAATTGAATAAAGTTGTTACAGTAAAAATTTTACGATGCGCGACTATACCGAGAGTCAAAAAGTGACATGATGAAGTTGATTGCAAAGCGAATAACTTCACAATTTTACCATGGCAACCTATTACAACATTTTCAAATTTGCCTATAACTCCAAGTTATTTAATAAAATTGTTTACAATTGCCTGTTATGTCTTTTTCACAAACAAACAGTACGTAAGAGTTATGTATGTTTATGAATATGTGACTTCAAAAAGAGTTGCAGATACGTTGTCACCTTTTAAAAAAAAATGTGTGTTAGCAACCAGACGATCAGAGCGGCATTGCATTTATAATATATCGTCACATATCAATTATATACATATTTCAAAAGGCGTCGATTGAATTTTTATTCCAGCAATAGGATGTTTTTAATAATTAAGACTATTGCTGACGGCTACTACTATATGTAGGTATTTTGTAAGTAAAGGGAAGTTTGAAAGATTATATTTATTAAAAAAAAAACGAAATAGTGAAATTTTTAAAGCGATAACTAAGATTTTTGGTTGGAAACCAAATATTTAAAACAAATAACCGTTTTTTTTTTGTAAAAACGATAACTTTGATCATAAATAAATTAAGTATTAGTATTGCCGCATCCTAATGTGGGTAGTATACAATTTGCCCAATGTAATAAATGACCAAATTCTATTTAGTCGACAAGGTTGACTGCGTCGAATACGTTACTTTGTGAATTTAATCATGGGTCGGACGTGTTCGAAGAACATTGATTATCATTGATCTGATTGTATCGAGGTATTACTAGGCACGTGTTATAAGGTAGTCTTGTTTAACTATTATTAATATATGGGGTTCAAGGGTGGATGATGCGCAATATATGACTATAAAAATGAGTCACGTAGCCTCTCTCCACCAACTCCACTCCCAGCCTACCTGCGGTGAACCCTGTTACGTCGGGAAACCTATAATCGAGATTGCGGTAGCCAACCGCTTTGGAGATATAGGTCGACAAGCAGCAGCAGGGGGTCCGGACCATGAAGTCACTCAGTCCGGATGTCAGTCGTCGGCAGCAGGGCGTTCTGAATACTATGACATCAGTACTGCGGTGCAGAAGGCAAGGGGAAACCACTGCACTAACTTTCCCAAGAAACCCGTTATGAAAAATGCTAGTGGTGTGGAAGCAGCTCGTCGCCGATTCACTTAAAATTTTTCAGGACGGACACGACCTTCAGTAATGAAGACCGCGAAGAAGAAGAAGAAGAAGAATATATGGACTTTTCCAAATCCTAATCGAGGTTGGGTTTTTGAAATTGTCACGACAAATTGTCACGACCTGCCTAAAATTATATTTGATAATAATTATATTTCAAATTATGAAGACTTAGGATTACATAAGATACTAGTGGACCCAACAGACGTCCTGTACAAGCGACTTACATCCGACAATTTATAAAGAAAAAAAAAAATGAATTGTGAATCAAAATCATTCTCGAATCGACCGGAAGACACACAATAATTTCATTTAAATCGGTCCAGCCGTTTAGGATGAATTCAGTGACAAAGACACGTACAGAAGAATTATATCACTACAAAATATAAAACAAAGTCGTCCCGCTGTCTGTCTCACCCTATGTATGTTTAGATCTGTAAAAGTAAGCAACAGATCTTGATGCGGCTTATTTTACCAAATAGAGTGATTCAAGAGGAAGGTTTATATGTATAATACATTGTACCCGTGCGACGCTGGGGCGGGTCGCTAGTATATAAATAAAATTATATATACTAAAACAGTTGTGGTACCGTGATCTCACAGTATACCGATGTGAAGTACTGTGACGTTTCGTCTAGTGTAGTGATAAAGCCGGGGCATGTGATTTCCAGGTTTTTATAACAATAACTTTAAATTGTTCATTTTATTTTGGTAAAATTTTAGTTGAAATAGCAAGACTAGTTTGTTAGTCTAATAAGAGTCGTTAGATATTAATAAAACGAAGTGTTGTCGCTTTTGGTTAGAGTAGACACTTTCTCAGGTCACCTACATGGTATTTAGACAGTTTTAAATAATGCTTTTTAAAATCATGTAGGTTTTTTTTACAATTGCATGCCTGTCAATAATTATGTCTGGTCATAGTGTTTTGCCTTGCTTAATATAAAAAAAAATGGAATATGCGAGAACCGAGTATCCTTTCTTTTAATTAACATTAGTTAAAGGTAAACAATCGTTGTGTGTTAATTTAACTCGTCGTAGCTAAGTATTTCTTTGTCTTGCTTTAAATTTATTTGCTTTTCAGAGACGTTTATTTATCTCGGTAACTTACGGAACAACAGTAGAAATTAAACAGACGGGTATCCAAACTCGATAAAGAAACATGTTTTGTCAAGTGCTTATTTATGTAAGGAACACGCAGAAATTAATTGAGAGATTAATGAACTAATATTTTGTTTTATGCGCGGATATTTGTAGTTTTTTTTAATATATTAGAGAAGGGTTCTGCACCGGCAGCAACAGGTTTACAATAAAATAGTAATCAACAAAGCTTTGCTTTAAACCAAATAATAATTCAAGTTTTTCTTGCCAGTTGCCACGCAGCAGCCGAAGTCGGCTGTTGCACGAATGGGCAGGCTCGTCCGGGTAAGTACCACGACCTCACAGAAGACCGGCGTAAAGTGGAAGTATAATACTTTCATGTTTCGTCTGGTGAGTGAGGTAGCCGGATTCCAATTTTCAAAAGGTTGTCAACGCATCTGCAAACCCTCGGGTGTAGCAGATGTCCATGGGCGGTGGTATTCTCTTAAAATCAGGTGAACCACCGGCTCGCTTGGCAACTTTTCACATAAAAAAATATAGTCAGCAATACTGCTCAGCACTAGTCATTATATTTTATTTTAACATGTGGAATATTATTAGTCAAGTGGTTACATAGATATCATACCAGTTATTACTTAAAATAACTAATAGTAATAATATTGCAATCCGAAGCTAGAAATAAAAAAAAACAGAGCTATCACATATTTCACTCCGATATACCAACATGAAGAAAATATGCATTAATTGTATCGCGTATTTTCTGATGTTGGACAATACAATACAGCTATAAAGCTGTTCAATTAAAATTTAAACAAAAAAAAAATCCTGCACTCTGTTTCTGAGGGATCAGTTGGCCTACCAAATTTATTTATATAGTAGGCCGCCAATTAATACGTATAGTTAAAGCAATAGTCTAAGCAATAAAACAATTGTTATTAAGCTACATTTTTTAATTAATATACCATCGCAATAGCTTTGACATAAACCATTTTAATTTAAATCTCAATAGTTCTCCAGGGATGTGTTCAAATTACATAAATTTTGACAGCTTAGTATGGCAATGCCCTCTCATAAACAAAACGAACTCCGTTTTGATTTTAATAACATGCGGTAATCTATTTCAACCACCTCTCGAATTTTATTTAGATCGTGACAAATACGCTGTAATGTAGCAAATAGTCAATTATAATTGTGTTACTGCGCGCTTACTAAAAACAGCTCAGAGAAATAAAATTTAATCTTTTATCCTATAAAGGCTCGATACCTAAACGAAATAAAAAAAATCTGGCGAGATAAAATTATTACAAGCTAGCTAACTACCTAACGGTGTTTTCTATACAAGACAAGTACTTGAAAATTACCAATTAGCAATACTTGCAGGCTATGGATTAAAGCTTGGGTTTACATGGACGTTGACTTATAATACTGAATATTATTAATTTGCATTTTTCCTATATTATTACGTAGTTTTTTTTTGTTAAAAGTTACCAAATGAGCAGACGGTTCACCTGATGTTAAGTGAAAACCGCCGTCCATGGACATCTGCTACACCCGAGGGTTGCAGATGCGTTGGCAACCTTTTGAAAATTGGGTTTCGGCTACCTCACTCACCAGACGAAACGCGAAAGTATTTTTTATACTTCCACTTTACGCCGGTCTTCTGTGATGTGGTGGTACTTACCCGGACGGGCCTTCCCATTCGTGCAACAGCCGAGGCTGTTGCGTGGCCCTACCACCATCAAAGTTCCCAAAAATTCACAATCGGCTTTTGTTTTTAAAAACTAAACATTTGCATGTTACATTTTGTAGTGTCTTTAAGCAAGTATTATTTTAGACTCGCGTCGGGTTTAAAGCCAAATTCTTATCTGGCTCTCGTTCACTATAAGATATATAGAGTTTCCGGTGAGCCCTTTAGAAAGATAAAATTTATACGTTCTCTAAATTTATTAATAGTTTCGTTATACATTTATTTAATATCAATTTATTTAATATATAGTGTGCGTGTGTGCGTGCGTGCCTGTGTGCGTTTACGTGTATGTATGAGAGCGCATTTATATTATTAAGGCGTATTCATGAGTGCTTCAAACACTAAAAAAAAAACTGATTTCGTTTTAATTATTATATATAACATAGAAGGACCATTGAATTTGACATGGGTAAATTTTCTTTCTAATAATAATTTCTTAAGTCTTTTGATTTATTAAGAGTGCGGCTCATTTAAATGTGAATATTCAATTTTAAGTCAACCAGTTGCGCAAGGAAATGAGGGCTTCCTTTATAAATAAAATATAAGAAGGCCTCACGGGTCAAGGGTCTCTGCCATTGTTTATGGTTTCGGCGTCCCATTTTTTTGCGACCCATGTTTACTTTATAATTGACATAATTTTAATGTTAATTTACTCAGGATAGTCCTTAATTTAATTAATGCGAATATATATAACCTGAAATATCCTTGGTTTTTTATCACATATTTCTTATAAAATACCGAAAAATTACTCATTCGTGCAAGCCGCTGAAAATCGAACTAATAAACTGAAATGACAAAGTTTTCACATCCCCTAACGACTTAGCAACCACTAAACTTAACGGTCAACAAAACACACTGTGGTTCCGCAGGAAAATAGGTATTAAGAATGTTGACTGTGCTTGGTAGCACTTTACAGTTTAGTTTATTATTATGTTTTAACTCAAAAAGTGTAGGCATGTAAAGAATTAAATAAAAAAATTTATCTCATTTTAAATTAATATTCTTCACTTTAGTTTATGTTATATGCCTACAAAATAAACAGAAAAAAATCACGATTTAAAATGGAACCAAAATTTTATAAAGTGACAACGAAATTATATTGAATTACATAAATTATTATCCTATTTTAGATATATTTCAATGAAATAACATTCCTTCCACGGTTGTTGTCTACTCAAAAAGTTGTCTACTTTTATGATAATTATTTTTGTACATATGCCTTTTCTATCAACGAAATTATGATTGAGTCTGTCGTTATTGGAATGCCGATGGACGTCTCTTTTATACATTGCTCTGTTCACAGTACCGTACTTTGTTACAAACACTTCACATAGACAAAGAGCTAAGTCTGGAACAATTACCTGTGTTTCACACAAATGTTTGACCCTTGTGTGACTAGAACCTACTACTCCTGGCACTGAATTCAATAGCAATGCAGATTTGCCACTGCGTCATCAAGTCACATGCCAAAGGACATTCACTAAATTCGAAAGGTAACAAGATCGTTACCGGCCTCATTCTACTACGTGTGTACTAATTGAACTCTGCCTACCCCGCTGCGAATTAAAGACCAATCATTGTAACATGTCTTTTTCACATGATTACGAATTACTCACTGTTCACATTTGTTAGATTTCATAACTGAAAACAAATTACAAGTTTATTTCCAATGAAATTCTGCAACTCTATTTTAGTTCAGTTTGTTTTGTATTTATAATCAAAGTTCAGAATACCTCAATTAGTTAGTTCAATCTTCGTAAGAAAATCTAAATACTGATTCAATTTAAACAGATATTGTGAAGTCGTCTTTATAATTGAAGATCAATTTTTTCCTACAATAGGCAAATTTATTCGTGTAAAAAATAAAGGTGAAGGTGAATGGAAGTTACGAAAAGATGCGTAGACTACATTTCACCTTTATCGTTTTACTTAGTCCAATTTTTCATGCAGATCACCTATTTTTTACGAGCCAAAATCGGCATTACATAAGATCCTATTGGCTGAGTACTTCACTGGATACCACTATCGTCGATTTTCTTTACGATTTATGGGTATCCTTACATAAATTTAGTACTACGTGTAGGAAATATACTGGAACAAGTTTGGAATTAAAGTTTATTTATTTATTACGCTTTCTCATCAAAGA